CAATAGCAGAATGGGCAGCAGACCTGAGCATGTGGGTGGTGAGGGTGTCAAGATTGAAACCATGTGGGGCAGACTTCGCGACCTCGTCTATATCGCTGTTACTGAAGTCTTGGGGCAAGATCGCGTACAACACCGACATTGGTTCGATGTCGACGCGAGAATCCAGCGCATGCTCCCAGTGGAACCAGCTTATAAAGGCCCATAAAAATAACAGCGTTCGCAGACAACACCAGCTGCCTCGGGTGCCGATACCATTTGCTGGCGAGACTGTTGGAAATGTAAAATCCTTGGCTGGTGCGGGTGACTGGAGAAATTTGAAGATACGTGGTGTTGTATCCATCTGGTCAGCGCTTGGAATTCTCCCCTCCCTCCTCGCAAGTGCTTCCACATTTGGTCCCTGTTGACATTCCCCTTCCCCTTTTTTAACCTTCTTTTGAACGTGATCGGCGTTCTTTTAATTAACTAGTCTTTGTATTCTGACCTCGAGCTGGGGATTCGATTTGCTCGAACAGTATCAAAGGAATTCCTTGTCTAGGGTATCCATTGTTGATTTATGTACGTTTTTTATCATTACCTTCTTCTATCAATAGTACCGTATATACACCGAACTCTGCTTTGGCTTATACGCGTGGCTCAATTTACCAAGAATTCTACGGTACTCAACATCGTTCCATGGATTGGAGGAAAGTAATTTCATCAAATACAGACGCGTTCCATGAAGAATGAATCGGACGGTGCGGAACAGTCTCTCGGACTAGACAAACCAGGTGCCTTCGAAGGACGAGGAGAAAAGGAGAAAAACGCCTATTCCGACTCTTGTAATGACGTTTCTATTAGTAATCGTAGCTCCAGTAAAACAGTTAAGGCCTTAAGAATAGCCGAAATAGAGGAGAGGCGAGTTAAACGTGAGATCGAACTCCAACGGACAGTTTTTGATGCCGAGAGAAGGATCGAGCTTGCTAGGATAGAGGTAGAAACCGATGAACAGATGTCCGATGACGACCGTCAACCCGTGGATTCCATCGCGCCCGTCTCGGGATATTTGAAACAATACACTTGAAGAGTGTAATCATTGCTAACGTGAGAATGTTGGTATGCTAAAAGCAAGTGCTAGGAGCCTGCAAGATGCCAGTGTAGAACTGCCAAAGGTTGTGTTCTCCTGGTTTGACGGAAATCCGATTCATTATTGGAAGTTAATATGATAGTTTGAAGTGTAAGTGGAGAGTAAAATTGAAGATGCAGGAGAGAGACTACTATACTTGATTCATTATTGCAGAGGTGATGCGAGAGCGGCCATAGAAGAGTGTGTCATGCTGCCCTCACCGTTGGCTTGTTCAAGAGTACGGGAAATATTGAGTAGCTTATTTGGCCAGCCACATGGCGATGGCCTCGTTAGGACGGTATATATTAGAACGGCGGGTGGTGTCTTAAAAAGGGGACGTTAGAAAGATTTGTCTACTTGAGCGTCGGAGCAGCCGTATACCTCCAAACACGTAGGTTGTTCTCAACAGCCGGACGTGGAGAATTGGCGGGCGGTGTTGTATTCAGCTGGCCAACGCTTGGAATTCTCCACTTCCTCCTCGCAAGTGCTTCCACATTTGGTCCCTGTTGACATTCCCCTTCCCCCTTTTTTAACCTTCTTTTGAACGTGATCGGCGTTCTTTTAATTAACTAGTTTTTGTATTCTAACCTCGAGCTGGGGATTCGGTTTGCTCGAACAGTATCAAAAGTATCCTTTGTATAGGGTATCCATTGTTGATTTTTGTGCCCTTTATAGCATTACCTTCATCTATCAATAGTACCGTATATACACCGAGATCTGATGAATCTTATACGCTTTACTCAATTTACCAAGAATTCATGGCCACGAAGACGGCTTGCGGACCATAAACCGCTGTCACTACGTCCTTGCTAAAGTAAAAACGAAGCCATCCTGCCGTCGGAAAAGTAGCAGATGCTGTATTGTAGAGTGAAACGCTCTGTGTAGGTTCTCAATCATACATCTTCAGTGCGAAATGTCAAGCGACGGGATTTCTCAATCGGAAACCAAGGCATGGTTTTACCGTTCGCTCGCCCTGCGGTTGTCAGCCATTGTAATGCAGTAGATGTCCACTCGAAATGTTCCGCAGTTTGGGAACGGGAATACGAAATTTCGCACTGCATGTCGACTTCTCCTAAATCCCGGGGGGTTACATTTTAGGCTATTAATAAGTTTAGATTTCATAGATGTTTACGCAGATTTTGAATAATTCATATTGACCTGACTGTGAAAAACTCGGCGCCTCGGTGGGATTCGAACCCACGCAGTAAGGGGAAGGCTTTAGTACAGCCAACGCTCTAACCAATTGAGCTACCAGGCCCTGCCGGACGACGCAAATCACATTTCGGTCGAGTTACCTGTCCAACCTACTGCAACGTCTGGAATCAACCAAATCTGATGCAGTAAGTTGACTGCCCAAGCAGATTTTCCTAAGTAATTCACCCAGAATCCACCAGATGACTACCAGGCTCACAATTGGGTCACTTTGAATTATTCAAAATCAGCCAAAACATCTATGAATTACGTGAGTCTGCTAGTCATCTGGCGGATTCTGGGTGAATTACTTGGGAAAACCTGCTTAGGCTGTCAACTTACGGTATCAGATTTGATAGATTACAGTCGTTGCAGTAGGTTGGGCGGGCGTAACTGGACCCAAATGTGATTAAATTCGCGTCGTCCGGCAGGACCTCGTAGCTCAGGTGGTTAGAGCGTTGACGGTACTAAAGCCTTCCCCTTACTGCGTGGGTTCGAGTCCCACCCAGTCGCCGAGTTTTTCACAATTGGGTCAATATGAAGTTTAGATTTAGCACGTTTAGGACTAGGATCATTATGGTAAAATTTAGGACACGGGGATAGGAACTCCTAGAATTCAGCGCGAGACCACCTGTAGTACCAAGGAGGCCCATATTCTAGTGTCCAACAATCCAGAGAACCGGTTCAGTTCTAACGGAATTTTTTAAATAGACTGCCTGAACTTTGGACAGACGGGCCTCATTGCTCCAATATAAAATAACTCACATGAGGGTGTCAGAGTTCTCTGCTTTTAAAAGAGAAGAGGGACCTTTGAGACTGCAACAATCATTTTGAGATCTATCCTTAGTAATGCCGGAGTAATCTCTGGTTACACTCTCCTCCGTCGTCCAATTTCGCATATGAAACACGGACAGCTCTTAGCGACTCTGTTGATCTCAGGATAGCTGTAGAACGACTGACATGATATTCGGGACGTGCAAGTATGGGCAAAAATGCCAGGAAATTAGAATTAGCCTCAATACCATACTCTTAGATCTCATCAAGCTATTGGACACCAACGTGACCTCTACAAAATCATTACGAAGTTTGTGGGCCTCGAAAGGTCTGCGCTCATATCCAGGCAATCCCGCAACGATATACGGCGAACAGTATGGCCAAGCTATCAATCCCAGAGCAAATTCCCATGAAGATCCGGGTAAATCAGAGTTGTTTTCTTGTCTTCACCCTTTCCTAATGCTGCTGGAGACCTCTCTTGAGGAGCGCGCAGGAATTGGCATCACCTATTAAAGGGAAAGATTTTCAACAGTCGCCACTGTCGAAGTATCTAAGTTTTAGACAGTTGACGCACTTTTCGCTAACAAACGCAGAGTGAACGCCAAGGCTGAAATATATATGGAGATCAACCTGTTTTTGCCTCCGGATGCGCGGATTTCAAATTAAACACCAAAACAAAGTTATTAATTTTAGGTTAGCAAACGTAAGAAATCCGAGTCGATAATTCGAAAAACGTGAAGGGTTCACTGGATCAGTGGAATTGAGTGGTCGATGTTTTGGAAGTGGCTCGGCCAGGTCTCCGTCACCAAAGCGTTTCGCGCAAAAAATTAAACAGAATTTTGAATGAGCAACCGATCTAGCGGGCCCTGGGCCGATTGATTTTTTTCTTTCTCATTCACTGCCTCGGCCCTTGCTAGAGTTAAAACGACGCCATCCTGCTGAAAAATGTGCCGTTTTATAAATCTTGTCAATTTTTACTCACGTTTCAACCAACGCTGCGCTCAATTAATGTTTCCCCTGACAAATCTTTTTGGGCAACTTACGCGAATTTCATTTTCCTTACAGCGCCGTGGACGCCCTTCAACGTGTTATAGAGACGCTAGCGGATACAACTGCTCTATCTCACTCTAACTGACGCCCCGCTCTCCATTGTTGTTGATGCCTCCAATTGCGCCATAGGTGCAACCCTCAAGCACCTTCCCCAAACGGGCATCCAACCCCTAAGCTTCTACTCTGCTGAGTAGACATCACATCCCAAAATCTTTAAAGAACTTGTGGTAGAGAACCCCTTGGTATTTAACTCGTCATTAAGTATTTTCTTTACTATGTTAAAGGCAGGGATTTTTGTACTTACACCTACCATAAACCTCTTGCTTATGTCTTCTCCACTCCCCTTGGCAAGTATTCGTCCGTGAGGCCCCCAACATTGATTTTATCACTCAATATACGACGGATATTCGACTTCTTAAAGGACGTTCTAATCAGGTCGCTAACTTTCTATCCAAACCTGGAATTAATGCCGAAAAAATGCGTAACTAAACAGTCGGGAAATCAAAGTGACGGCCACTGCGAGTGATGTATGCAGGACGGTCGAAGAGGGTGGACTGCTTGTTATGGTGGAGGATGACGTTGCAGTTGGATGCTGTAGACATGTGGGGAGAGGAAGTATGTGGGACGGAGGGGTAGAGGAAAAGGGAGGAGAAGGGGGAGGGAGTGGGCAAGGTGAATGTGCAGGCGATAGTGAAGATGGAGGAACAGGGGCTAGGGGGTCAGCACATTTTTGTTCTTGTGACAGGTTCGGCGGCTCCTCTGCAGCAGCAGCCTTGACCTGATCGACACTGACCACGTCCTCCCTGTCACCGCGAAGAATGCGGCAGGTCTTAGCGTTGCATGCGAACACACGGAACGGTCCTTCGTATGGCGATTGCAGCGGCTAGCGCACATGACCACATCGGACGAACAAATAAGTGCATTTGTCCAAGTCTTTTCTGACATAAGACTCAGTCGTTGGAGTTCGAGGTGGCACCGGAGAAAGCGAGTGCATAAAATGCCGCAGACGATGCGCAAAATTGTCAGGAGTCTCGTTGGCACCACGAGAGGTTGGGGTGACCATTTCGCCTGGCAGTCGGAGGGTAGGGCCGAAAACCAATCCATCTGCGCTACAGTCCAGATCCGACTTCAGAGCTGCGCGGATGCCGAGGAGTGCAAGAGGAAGGTTGTCTGACCAGTTTCCTCGGTCTTCTGCGGCACGCAGGGCGGTCTTTTGCTGGCGATGGAAACGCTCAACCATACCGTTGGCTGATGGGTGGTAGGCTGTCGTCCGAATGCGTGTGCAGCCAAGAAAATTGAGTAGCGTTTTGAAGAGTGCAGACTCAAACTGGGGACCACGATCAGTCGTAACCGTGGATGGGACACAGCACATGGCGACCCAGTGACTGACGAAGGCCTTCACGATGGTTTCAGCCTGCGCATTCGGCAATGGAATGCCTTCAGCCCAGCGGGTGTACCGATCGACACAGGTAAGGAGGTGGGTGAAACCATTGGATGGAGGCAAGGGGCCTACGACATTCAGGTGCACATGGCTGAACCGTGCGTCGGGGTTGGGGAAAGTGCCTGGTGGGGACTTATTGCGACGTTACACCCTGTTGCGCTGGCAGCTCAGACACGACCGGACCCAAGCTTTGACGTCCTTGTTCATGCCGGGCCAGACAAACCCATCCGCAATGGTCTTTTGAGGGGCTCGGATCCCAGGGTGGTAGAGTACATGCAGAGTTTGAAATACAGCTCGGCGCATCGAGGCGGGCAGTAAAGGGCGATGAAAAGAAGTCGAGACGTCACAAAGTATGGTACCAGAGCCGGTGGTCAGAGGAACGTCTTTGAGTTGGAGGCCACTAACAGACTCGTCACCAAGACAACCGACTCGCTGTTGCTCAGCCGCCATGGCACAAAGGCCGATCCCGCGTGAGAGTTGGAGGGAAGACAGTGAGAGCCTGGACAGCATATTAGCCACCTCATTCTTCGTGCCATCGATGTGGCGGCTGACGGTGGTAAATTGGGAGATGTAGTCCAGATGGGCGATTTCCCTCGGATTGTACTTGTCGGAGTGGGAATGAAGTGCAAAAGTCAACGGTTTGTGGTCCGTGAAAACAGTGAAGCCCGGACCTTCGAGGAAATGCCGGAAATGCTTCACAGCCAGGTAAATGACCAGTAGTTCTTGGCCAAAGGTACTGTAGCGTGTCTCATCTGCTAAGAGCTTTTTGGAGAATAAGGCAAGTGGTCGAGTCGAACCAGCAAGGTGTTGTTGAAGGACTGCACCTACGGCTACAGGCGAAGCATCTACCATCAGGGACAGCTGAGATTCGGCAGCGGGATGCGTGAGTAAGGTGGCGTCGGCAAGGGAATTCTTGATTCTCTCAAAAGCAGTCAGTGCTTCACCAGTCAGCTCGAGGGGACATTTGGGATCAAAAAGCATGTTGGTAAGCGGCATCATGAGGTCAGAATAGTTCGGTAGTAACCGGCGGTAAAAATTTACCATGCCGAGGACTGGCTACAACTGACGCTTGGAAGTTGGTGGAGGGAAGTCACGAGTTGCTTTAACCTTCGAGGGAAGGGGACGCAAACCTTCAGAGTCGACCTGATGGCCGAGGAACTCGAGCAAAGGCCCACCCAACACGCACATGGAGGGGTTGATGACCGCCAAACTTGTCAAGGCGATCAAACACCAAGGCAAGACGATCTTTGTTTTTTCCATTCTGACTGGCCACCAAGAGGTCATCAATTTAGACTTTCACAAAGGATAGGCCACGTAAGACATGGTCGACGAACCTCTGGAACGTTTGGGCGGCATTACCAAGACCGAACGGCACGCAGACGAACTCGAAGAGACCGAAGGGTGTGGTGACGGCGGTTTTAGGGACGCCGTCAGTGGCGACTGGAATCTGATGAAAAGCACGCACCAGATCAATCTTCGAAGAAACCGCTTTGCCGAAAAGGGCTCCAGCAAAGTCCTGAAGATGAGGCATGGGGTAGCGATCAGGAATGGTGACGCTATTGACGGCACGATAGTCGCCACAGGGTCCCCAGTCACCTGATGTCGCCTTGGGCACCATTTGCAGTGGGGACGCCCAAGGGTTCTCGGACGGGAGAATTATTCTCAGTTGCAGCATGTGTTTAAACCCCGCCTTTGCGGCCTGGAAACGCTCCGGTGCTAGGAGCCTCGGACGAGTAAACACAGAAGGACCTGGGGTGTGGATATGGTGCACAAGATCATGTTGGACCTCACCACTGCGAAATTGGCGGTTGATCATGTTGGGGTGTCTAAGAATCAGTTGCCGAAAGGGGCTACCAATATCTGTATCCAGGACAGATAAGTAGGTGGGGGCAGTAAAGGGAGTAAGTCCACGAACAAACAGACCGGTTATGCGGTCGAGCAGACAGGCACGTCGACAGTCAACAAGGAGATCGAACTCGGCATGAAAGTCGCAAACATAGAAGGTGCGACCAGAGCCGGAAGAGCCAGGGTAAACGGTCACATCTATTATTTGGCTGACTGATTTCCCTGTTTCGGCTTAAAAGTGCAGGGAGAGGAACAACGACGGGTCTATACGCCAAAATTAGTGTGATACCAACAAGTATCGGCAGTCCGAGGTCGCGAACGAGGACGACGACGGTTGCGTGAGCGACTGGAAGTAAGGCGGGCGAGCTGTAGTTTAAGGGAGGCCATCTCATTCGCCATGGCCGACACCTGCTTCATTAAATGCTCATTCACTGACGATGAGGATGAGGAGATTTGGGCAACGGACGGTGACTGGAACCGCTGCACCTCCATCATTCGATCCGCCATTTCAGCCGGCTGTGAGACCGTTAGATCTTGAGAATCGGGCTCCAGGATCGTTTGGACATCTGCGGACAGACGCTCCAGGAGCCTCTCCTTGACGAATTTATCGTCAACCTAAATGTCTCCAAAGAGAGAGCGCATTCGACGTAGAAGTTCTGAGGGCTTCCTGTCACCCAGTGACTCCTCCTTAAATAACTGGTGATACCGCTGTCGATCGGACACAGAATTAAGTCGAAGAATTCCTGCCTTTAACGTGGAATAGGGAGCATCTGCAGGAGGATTAGATAGCAAGGACTAAACATGAAAGATAACCCTAGCAGGAAGAACCTCCATAAGTTTGTGGTAGTTCGCCAGCTCCTTGGTAACGTTAGCAGAATAAAAAGCTGATGCGATGAGGGCAAAATAATGTTCTGGAGCGTGTTGCCAGAATTCGGACAAGGTAAAATTGACGGCATAAAGGGACTGGACGAGGACATCAAGTTGTTGATTGGATTAGGACATAATAATTCAGACAGGGATGATAAAATATCGAGAAAATTCATGAGAAAAGTCAACATAACTGGAATAGAAATTCACAAACAAATAATACGTCAGATATTATTCAATATGACATATAAAGTTATAACGTCTGCGTTAACGTCGGGAATCACCAATGGCGTAAACGGTAATGTTCTCACGGACTAACGAGTCATATCTCACGAGCCCCTAGCCTTAAAGGCAGCAAGTAAAACTGCGCAGTGAATAATATAGAGATTCTGAGCGTTAAGTAACCTGACAACAGAGCGCGACAGCAAAGCAGGCCAGCAAGGCGGGTTGTCCAGGTGTGTTGTTTTTCGTCACATTCAAACTAGCAATCCGGGCAAAGAAAACGGGACTAATTTGTCAAAGGTAAATTAGTCCGGTACCTCACCACATCCTCACCACTATTACCACTGATCAAAGCCGACGATTTGAATCTAGGTTCCTTAATGCCTTTTCTGACCTCGGATGCTCTCGCATACGCACGACAGCTTTCCACCCCTCATCCAACGGTCCAGTCGAGCGTTTTCACCGTCAACCCAAAACCTCACTCAGAACCTCGATAAAACCCGACTTCTAGTGCTCAACTGCCGATCTTGCTTACGGGCCATCCCAAAGCTTTGTCGACCTGGATGCAACTATGGTTGCGCCGAACAATGGTTAATCTCCGGACCATATCTCCATGCGTTCCAGCAGTAAGTCATATATTGATCCTAGCTTGCTTACGTGTTATTTGGTATTTGCTCGCGTACATAGCGTTCGTAAGCTACTGTAACGGCCCTACAACGGACCATTTCGAGTCCTGTCGCGCCGGACAAACACTTCAAAACCGTCCTTGGCGATCACACCGAAGTGCTATCAGTCGATCAGTTGAAGGTTGCCTATGCCGACCCTACGCCCACCCCAACAGATCGGCCTTCTTCACCTGCCACAATTTGGTGTGTTGTGTAGGAGTGTCCAGCGGTGGGTTCACATGACAGTCGTATTAGGTCGCTCACTTGCTTGCAGGTGCAGACTACGCCTAGCGCCCATTCGCTGGCACCCAGCTCTCACATGTGGCTCCCTGAAACAAGACTCTGCCTGCCGACCGCACACCGGTAACCGCCTTGACCGGTGGGATAAACCAGGCGAGGAAATCCGTATGTGCATCTGCGCACACGGTATCGTGGACTCCGCTGGGCGGCTGGTCGAATGGAAATTCGCATCGACATCGTCGAGACGAGGTTCCGTTTGGTGCACCGCAGGAGGTCACAAGCTTACGGCGATGTCGTAAGCTCTGCAGGCTAAATCGGGTAGTTCTTCCACTACACCAAAGAGGTGGCACATAGTCGAATTCAGAAGCGCTTGACGCTACCCAGTAGCCCTATTGAGAGAGGCGCTGTTTGCCTCCGCAGGAGGAGGGGCTAGAAAAGGTGTCATAAGAATGCTGGAGAATCACGTTGTCTTCAGGCTGACCATAGTCGCAGACGTTAAACTCACCGACGAAACAACTGGAATTAAAACAAAAAGAAAAATGACAACACTCTATCTCTTTGTCTTCCTGCTTCTACTTCTTCTCCACCCCGTCCCCCCACTCCACAGGCTAGTAGGGTGAGTCCGCTCACTATGGCAGCCTGGAATGTTCGTACTCCTTTAGAAAATCTGAGGAGCAACCGACCGAAACGGAGGACGGCGCTAGTGGCTCGGAAACTGGCGCGATACAAAGTGGACATTGCCGCACTCAGCGAGACCTGGTTCTCCCAACAAGACCAACTGGAGGCGATGGATGCAGACTACACCTTCCTATGGGACAGTCGTCCCAAGGTAGAGCACTGAGACGTAGGCGCCGCCTTTGCTATACGGAACGACATTATAGGATGACAACCCTGTCTGCCACAGGGCATTAACGATCCCCTGATGAGTCTCCACCTGGTTCTCCGATGACGTAAATTTGCCGCCATCGTCAGTATCTACGCTCCTCCGATGACCAGTCCTGATGCCACAGGGGACAAATTCTAAGAGGAGCTGCATACTCTCCTGGCAACTGTGTCGAAGACGGATAAGCTGATTGTCCTTGGTGATTTCAACGCCCGTGTCAGCATAGACCATGCTGCCTGGAGAGGAGTGTTGGATCCCCAGTGTCGCGATGACTCCAATGAAAATGACCTGCTCCTCCTACGGACCTGCGCAAAACACCGGCTCATCCTGACCAACGCCTTCTTCCGTCTGCCGATGTGAAAGAAGGCCACCTGGATGCATCCGCGGTCGTGACACTGGCACCTGCTGGATTATGTCCTCGTCTGGAGGCTGGTGACAAAGGTGATTTCGGATGCCGACTAGTAGGTCGATCATTGCCTCGTCATCTCGAAGATGTGGATTCGCCTTCAGTCATCCAGGAGACCTCATGGTAAGCCACCCACAGGTAAGCTGAATATTGCTTTGTTGCCTTTGCCTGCTTACCATCTCCATTTCAGCAATGAGCTAACTGAACGGCTAGCCAATCTTCAAATTGCTGTTGCCGTCATCGACGAATACGTCTCTGTGGGCACAGTCCAGTCGACCTCCCCGGCCGTCCTCGGTCGCGCACGTCGCCAAAACCAGGACTGGTTCGATGACAATGACGCCGCCATCAGCAACCTGCCCGCCGAACAGAACCGAATGCACAAAGCCTGCGTCAACTGCCCCACCGAGGACAACAAAGAGGCCTTCTACCGTAGTCGCCTCCTTGCGCAGCAGCGGCTGCAGGAGATGCAGGACGCTTGGACAGCTTGGAAGGCAGAGGAGATCCAAGGGTACGCAGACCGCAACGAATGGAATATCTTCTTCATCACGATCAAAGCCGTCTACGATCCGCCAACCAAAGGTACTGCACCTCTTCTCAGCGCCGACAGCAGTGCCCTATTCAATGACAAGACAAAAACTCTACAGTGATGGACCGAGCACATCAAAAGCGTCCTCAACCATCCCTCCACCCTCTCCGAAGCCGCCATCGTACGTCTGCTTCAAGTGGAGATTAACGCCGACCTTGACCTCCCGCCATCCCTCCACGAAACCATTAAGGCCGTGCAAAAGCTCTCCAGAGGGAAAGCGTACGGATCGGACGCGATCCCTGCAGAGATCTACAAACACGGTGGGCCTCAACTCATGGATTTTCGGACGGTGCTCTTCCAGGAGATGTGACGTCAAAGAGAAGTCCCGCAGGATTTCAAAGAAGTCACAATCGTGCATCTCTACAAGCGGAATGAAAACTGCCATCTCTGCGATAACCACCGAGGCATCTCCTTACTGGACATCGCCGGAAAAATCTTTGCTCGCATCCCTCTGAACCGCCTGAATAATCACCTGGAACAAGGTGTTCTGCCGGAAAGCCAGTGCCAATTCCGCCGTCATCGTGGGACGACGGGCATGGTCTTCGCCGCCCGCCAAATCCAGGAGAGGTGTCAGGAGATGCGGATCCACCTCTACTCTACCTTTGTGTATCTGACGAAAGCCTTTAACACAGTGAATCGCGAATACATGTGGAAAACCATACAAAAATTTGGCTGCCCCGAAGGATTCACTCAGGTGGTGCATTAGCTCCACGATGGCATGATACCGCGGGTTACATACAATGGAGCTGTCAGAGAGGCATTCGCCGTGACCAGCGGAGTGAGGCAAGGCTGCGTCCTCGTACCGACCCTTTTCAGTCACATGTTCTCTGCCATGCTAGTGGATCTCTATCGTAACGAACGCACGGGGATCCGCATCGCCTATAGGAAGGACGGCCACCTCCTCAACCACAGGTGGATGCACATTCAATCGCGTATATCCACAACTACCGTCTATGGACTTCTTTTCGCCAACGACTGCGCCCTCAATGTAACTACTGAAGGAGACATGCAAATGAGCATGGACCTCTTCGCCACTGACTGCGGCAATTTCGGCCTTATCACCGACGCGTAGAAAACGGTGGTCATGCATCAACCGCCACCCGACGCTGCCCACCTCGCACCCCAAATCAACGTGAACGGCACCCGGCTGTAAGCCATGGACAACTTCACCTACCTGGGCAGCAACCACTCCCGCACCACCAAGATCGACGATGAATTGGCCCGCCAGATCTTCAAGGCCAGCCAAAACTTCGGCCGTCTGCAAAGCACAGTCTGGAATCGCCACGATCTGCACCCCAATACCAAACTGAAGATGTGCAAGGCAGTCATCCTACCAACGCTGCTGTATGACGCGGTGACCTGGACGGTGTACAAGAAGCAGGCACGAAGACTCAAGCACTTCCACCTCAGTTGTCTGCTACGGATATTGAAGCTGAGGTGGCAGGATCGGATCCCGGACACGGATGCACTGGGGCAGACGGGAATCCTCAGCATGTACGCCATGCTGAGACGGCTGCAACTGCGTTGGAGCGGTCACCTCGCGCGAATGGCCGACGAGCGGCTAAGCAAACGGCACTTCTACGGATATGTCGCCACCGGTTCCCGCCGACAAGCAGGTCAAGTCCGGCGTTACAAGGATACTCTGAAGACTTCTTTGGAGCGTCTGTAGATCAACCTGGCCAACTGGGAAGACTTCACCCGAGACCGACTGACCTGAAGAGGGGAGCGAAGAGAGGCGCAGCGATCTATGAAACCACTTGCATCGCCACGGCCAAAGCAAAACTCGAGGCTCGAAAACCCCAGTTGCGACCACTCGCAGCATTCACTTCCACTGTCCACGCTGCCCTCGCACATTCACTCACCGCATGGGCCTATTCGGTCACATGCGTATCCAAGAGATCGGTACTGAACACCCATAGCATATCCAGCACACGCACCATTCCCAGTCCCGCCCACACCCCAACGCCCAGCGCGCCCACCCCAACCTGTTCCATTACACTCAGTTCATCCTGCACGCCCACCATGCTCAACCAATCCTACACTCCCGTTGCCCAGAGCGCCCACCACCACCAGCCCCACCATCACTGAATCTGATACTGATACCGCCGACTTCTCATGTCTACACTGCCTCCGTATATTCATCTCACATATCGGCTGCACCACACCATCGCATCCTCCCTCACCATCCTCTCATCGCACGTCAACATCACCCACCACAGACTTCCGAATGCCACCACTCGCGCACGTGGGAAATGGGTGCCATGACTCCGTCTCAATGCGGCTCCTTTGCTGCATGTGTAGTCGGAATTTGAGACGAAGACGGTGCGTCGATCGCTGTGGCACAAAAGGCAGCCGACTAATGCCCCAACTCAGTCCACACAGTCTGTCCAATTGTGTGTATTGTGTGGAGTGGTGGACTGGTGGGCTGAGGGTCAGGCTGTGACACTCTCATGTATGAGGGGAGGGTATTTGTGTTTATGTTAACTCTATGGGTAGTGCCTCTCAGTCGACGACTGTTTGGTTACTTAACCCTGAAGGCTGACGTCCCAAGCTAAAAGCAAAACCACGTGTCGCCCTTCTATGCCAAAAGGTCTGAAGGTATGTGCTGCGCCAGTATCGGCAAACCAGGGCCCTCGCAGCCTGGAATGCGCTGGCAGTTCCTTGACACCTGTTCCCCTGCCGAGAGATGCGCTTACGCTCCTGCTGAGTATATAGGTGATGGGCATGGCAGCCTAGTCATCATTCTCGTCCTTGTAACTTCAGTTAGGGTGCTGTTGTTGCTGTTGATCAAAACCTGGTCATTTGTTGTCTGGACCAGGGGATGTGGAGTGGCACGTCAAGTCGCGGGCTCGACCGCGCCATCCAACTGCGTCCCCCGCCTCCGGTCTTCTTGACTCTGTCTTGACACCAGGTCCAGTTGAGCATTGAGGAAGAGAGAGTGCGGTAGATGCCGCACAAGTCTACTACCATTTTTGACTAATTCACGCGCAAGTCACCGTGTCTGATGCACCTTGGTGTGTAACACACGCTGGACGTCGTCGGCGACGACGGTCGAACTGTCATTCCGACGCCTCTGTAGCATGTACCCGCCAAGAAAAATCCGACACGCCTTTCTACTATGACTGAACCTTTTGAGGTCACTGACGGAAATTCGCAAAAGTCTGTGCTTGCAGTTTGAGCATCGGTTGGAGCGCTTCAGATGCATACACGGATATTTTAGTCTATATGCATCAGTACCAACTATGTGTTCAATGCGAAGTTAATCCGAAGTGTAGATATTTACGGTCGACAGAAGACGGTGATTGCGCATTGGTAGCCTGGCTGTGGCAGATGGATGGTCGGCGATTGCAGAATTCGGCTAAGAGTTAAGGTTGCCCGGGAAGGTCCAACAAGGGCAATTCTCGAGCATAATGTGCGTTAACAATGCGGGTAACCGTAAACCGGTCGCATATCACTCAGAACTCACCTCGGGATGCTCTTCATGGAGTGGTGATGCATAGTGAGCGAGTACCGCGCGAAAATTGCGAGTGACTAATGTGCTTTGGCAGAGAAAATGTATGGGAAGTGATAAATGAGATTCAGGTTAACCTTCTTAGTTCATGATTCGACCAACAATTGAAGTGACAACACACAGCGCAGGAGGCTGCCGATATTCACAAACAATGGTTAAAAAGTTGAGGCAGTGAATGAGAGAGAAAAAAATCAATCGGCCCAGGGCCCGCTAGATCGGTTGCTTATTCAAAATTCTGGTTAATTTTTTGCGCGAAACGCTTTGGTGACGGAGACCTGGCCGAGCCACTTCCAAAACATCGACCACTCAATTCCACTGATCCAGTGAACCCTTCACGTTTTTCGAATTATCGACTCGGATTTCTTACGTTTGCTAACCTAAAATTAATAACTTTGTTTTGGTGTTTAATTTGAAATCCGCGCATCCGGAGGCAAAAACAGGTTGATCTCCATATATATTTCAGCCTTGGCGTTCACTCTGCGTTTGTTAGCGAAAAGTGCGTCAACTGTCTAAAACTTAGATACTTCGACAGTGGCGACTGTTGAAAATCTTTCCCTTTAATAGGTGATGCCAATTCCTGCGCGCCCCTCAAGAGAGGTCTCCAGCAGCATTAGGAAAGGGTGAAGACAAGTAAACAACTCTGATTTACCCGGGTCTTCATGGGAATTTGCTCTGGGATTGATAGCTTGGCCATACTGTTCGCCGTATATCGTTGCGGGATTGCCTGGATATGAGCGCAGACCTTTCGAGGCCCACAAACTTCGTAATGATTTTGTAGAGGTCACGTTGGTGTCCAATAGCTTGATGAGATCTAAGAGTATGGTATTGAGGCTAATTCTAATTTCCTGGCATTTTTGCCCATACTTGCACGTCCCGAATATCATGTCAGTCGTTCTACAGCTATCCTGAGATCAACAGAGTCGCTAAGAGCTGTCCGTGTTTCATATGCGAAATTGGACGACGGAGGAGAGTGTAACCAGAGATTACTCCGGCATTACTAAGGATAGATCTCAAAATGATTGTTGCAGTCTCAAAGGTCCCTCTTCTCTTTTAAAAGCAGAGAACTCTGACACCCTCATGTGAGTTATTTTATATTGGAGCAATGAGGCCCGTCTGTCCAAAGTTCAGGCAGTCTATTTAAAAAATTCCGTTAGAACTGAACCGGTTCCCTGGATTGTTGGACACTAGAATATGGGCCTGCTTGGTACTACAGGTGGTCTCGCGCTGAATTCTAGGAGTTCCTATCCCCGTGTCCTAAATTTTACCATAATGATCCTAGTCCTAAACGTGCTAAATCTAAACTTCATATTGACCCAATTGTGAAAAACTCGGCGACTGGGTGGGACTCGAACCCACGCAGTAAGGGGAAGGCTTTAGTACAGTCAACGCTCTAACCACCTGAGCTACGAGGTCCTGCCGGACGACGCGAATTTAATCACATTTGGGTCCAGTTACGCCCGCCCAACCTACTGCAACGACTGTAATCTATCAAATCTGATACCGTAAGTTGACAGCCTAAGCAGGTTTTCCCAAGTAATTCACCCAGAATCCGCCAAATGACTAGCAGTTAGAGACTGCTCCTTATATAGAGCAAGAAGAATCCGTTGTAGAGACCTGATCATGCGTTCCCAGATGCCTCTCCGATGGCTGGCAGTGAGTGGGTTAATATGCTACTCTATCTCTAGAGTTAGCAGTTTCTTCGGACACTACCTTTTGGTTCCAGTTGTGCATGTCGTTTCTGAGTTCCGCTGCTGCTCCAACAAAATTGGTTCCGTTGTCACTGTAGATGTCAGTGGGACGTCCGCTTCTACTCACCAATCTCATCAGACACTGAACGGAAGAATTCGTGGTCAGGCCAGCGGCTATCTCAAGATGATCCGCTCTCGTCTGTAAGCAGCTAAACACACAACTATAACGTTTCTCAGAAGATCGTCTGGGTTTGACCTTCAACGGATCAAAATAGTCCACCCCAACGCACTTGAGAAGATACCAACCGACTTCTGTTCTATTTAATGGAAGCGAGGACATTATCTTCCCTGAAATTGTCAAAATTTGCGCTTGCAATGCAGACATCTACCAAGGACACGTTTAACAGAAGCGGTTCCTTTTAGAATCCAACATTTTTGTCGGATTGCACTTAGAACTTGGACTGTCCCACAATGGTCTCCCAATTTATGAAAAGCGCAGACGATTAACTCCGTCACGGGATGATTGTATGGAAGGACTGACGGGTGTTTTAACGATTCACAAAAATTCGAGCGGTTCAGGCGACCATCAACGCACATTACTTCTTCAATCAATAATGGAAATAACTTTCTCAAGCTAATATTTCTCACGGACTTCCTTTTCTGGTAATCTGCTTCCTTGTATAAGCTTTACCAAGCTAATGCTGGCTTGGCGCATTTCGGATACTCGGATAGGACCCAACATCCGCGTCTCCTGAGGTGCCAGTGATGACTCTGACGTACTGCTTGAAACGCAGGAGCCAGCCAACAGCCCTTTGTAACCTTGTCCAACTTGAAAAACGCACAACCAATTAGTCTAACTCATCAAATTGACTTAATACATGAACTTGAGCTGTTGTCCTCTTGAATTTCAAGTCTTCAGGTTGTCGCACTGGGGGTTGTACAAGCCATTCGCTTTCACGTTGAACTAAAAATTGCAGACCATCCAACCATCTATGTACAAGCGCAAAGTTGCACGTACCTCGAGAAGCAATGTCTGCTGGGTTGACGTCCGAACTCACGTATCTCCATTGAGAGGTTGCAGACAGATCATGTATAACTGTCAGTCGGTTGGCCAAAAATGTGCAGAACCTGGTTGATTCATTGTATATATAATAAAGGACTCTCATAGAATCGGTCCAGAAAGTTATGGTTTGGAAATACTTATCGGGGCTTGACCGAATGAGATCAGCCACGCGCACAGCCAGAGTATCAGCTGCCGACTCTAAACGTGGTATATAGACGGCTTTGAGGGATGCGACACGTGCTTTCGAAGAACGTTCAGTCGAACTAACGACCGAGAGTATGCGTCGGTCATTAGATGCACAGGTCCGCATACGAAAGCTGCCTTGAGAGAGGAGTTTACAAATTTCGTCCACAAACCGTTTGGCACAATCGACATCACATAACGAGACCAGACAATCATCAACATCACGTGTAATCTGGTGAATCACTCTGCAAGTAGGTGAAGATTAGGATGAACCGAAATCTTCAACAGTTTTTTGCAACGCAAAGGCGACAGAAAGGGGCGAAGAAGTCAATCCGCCGAAACTCAACTGGCTCTCCTTCAAGCTCGTCATTTTCCCACCACAAAAATTTCACAACAAGTCGATCAATCGGGTCCACTTTCACTCGCAGGAACATTTCCTCTATATCCCCTGCCACTGCAATACGCTCAAGTCGGAAACCTAACAACACACTTACTAGCTTAGCGTTTAGTTCAGGTCCTTGGTATAGATTGTCGTTCAGAGACACGCCCTGACACTTAGCAGCACAGCCAAATACAACAAGAATTTTTTTCTGGTTTTTGGGGATAGACAACGGGGTGGCGTGGTAAGTACCAATGTCTCGTAACTGGAAACGCTTTATTGCCGTAACGGAGGATCGCACAATAGCCAGGGCCCGTTTGTCCTCCAATGAATGACTCTCAGTCGTCGTTGAAGTGTCCGAAAACTCCGAGTCATATAGCTTCTTAATGTTGTGCGTCACATCCTTTTCTTGATTTACAATGCAGTGACAGACAGAGTTCTGTTTTTGCCTGCCACGTGAGGATCCAAGCAGCATCCAACCCAACAGTGTTTTCACGGCGAACGGTTCCCTCTTGCCACCCAGACGTTGGTCAAGTACCCAATGAGCTTCCGCGATATCATTCGCAATGAGTATGCCAACCTCGCAATCAGTAAGATCGTCGAACATTATACCGCTCAGGTGTGGCCACGAAGAGGCTATCCTTTTAATTGTCGATTTCGCACGGAGTGGCAAGTCTTCAACCACAAAGCCCTTTCAATCTCAACTGACTCGGTTCCATTCATGGGCAGCACTCTTAGACTTCTGACTTCCGAGTTGCATTTGATTGAACCACTTAAGGTATTTATTATCAATGTTGTCGGCGTTGCGAACACTCCATTTCCGACGAGAAGCTTTCGTTTAATCAGAGTGAGATCCGGGCCATTGTCCAAAAATGCGTAAGCTTCGACGTTTCCTGTTGGAGTTGCTAACATGACAGAAATAACTCCCAGTCGTGATGGTACATACATGATTCCAGTCAGGGCACAAAGCCCTTGATTCTTGTAATGTTCGCTGATTGTTTTCCGAGGCCATTACATGCAAAAGCGTATGATGTCGTTTTTTGCACCCGGACTGACCACAAAGTGCTCTGGAACTGCCCACCTTGGCCAAATGCGTATTACCAAGACAAACAAAACACTCTTTGTGTACCCGCGGACAATTCCCTCGATCTGCAACACCCATCGAAAGTAAACGTGGGCAATTTGCCGCATCATGTGCATTAGAACATATGTAACATGGCCGGTGATCTGGTTCGACACTGGAAATGGCAAATATGTTGGGTTTGTCCCGTTTTTTGATATTGGGCCGTGGCAGTAAAGGGCAGTTGCGAGAGCTTGACATCACCATCTTGAGATATTTGTCCTAAACGACGTCTTGCTATCCTAGCTCGAGTATTTACGAATTCCGTGAATCCTGCAAAATTTGGATCTCTACCATTTATAGATATTTTGTCAGCAACTTCAGCCCATTAGATCTGCATAAAAAAAACGGTAAAAAGCGGACAATTCGCGCTAGGACACAGCGATTGTAGGTCAGAGACGTAGTTCGTTTGCGTGAGCGCTATATAACAACTTTTCATTTTTACGCACAAATCTCAAAGTGCCTTTGCAGTCTGGTTAACTTGGCGTGCCTGTCTGAAGACACCATCCATAAGAGCATTAGCCACTACATGTGGCTTGCCAAATAAGCTGCTCAATATTTCCCGTGCTCTTGAATAAGCCAACGGTGAGGGCAGCATGACGCACTCTTCTATGGCAGCTCTCGCACCACCTCTGCAATAGTGAATCAAGTACAGAAGCCTCTGTCCAGCATCTTCAACTTTCCGCCAAGCCCTGGTAAGCGCCTCGAACAGCGGGCTAAGCCAGGTAAAGGCATCCGGTGTTGTGTGTCCCCACAATGCTTCCCTTGCCTTCCCCATCCCCCACCCCAAAAAGTCTTACTGAGAGGGCAGCATACAAACCTGTCGGCAGTCCAGGCTAATTCGGGTGGCTCTCCACTAGACAAAGCCTTGACCCATAGTGGAGTTCGCCAATCGTCTGAGATGACTAGGCAGCCCTATTTAGGGATAGCACTGCTTATCCCCTGGTAGGGGAAGGGTAAGGAATGGAGCCCTAAACAAATGCTGGGGAATCACGCCATCTGCCAGTATACCGTGGTTTGCGGATGCAAAATCGCGATCGAAACACTATAACGAATAACAACCACCCTTTCCCCCGCCCCACTCCACAGGCTGCTAGGGTGAGTCCGCTCACTCTGACACACTAGAATGCGCTTCCTCTTTTAGACAACCAGAGGGGCAACAGACCGGCAAGAAGGACGGCGCCAGTAGTTCGAGAACTGGCGCGCCACAAGGTGGAGATGGCTGATCTCAGCAAAAACCGCGTCTCTGAACAGAGTCTGTTGGAAGAAAGGGTGCCGGCAACACCTTCTTTTGGAGTGGCTGCCCGAAGTCATGGCAACAAGACGTGGGCGTCGCCTTTACCATCCGGAACGGCATTGTGGGACGACTGCCCTGTCTGCCGCAGATCATCAACGACCGACTGATGACCCCCGTGCCTGCATCTACGGGACTCTAAATTCGCCACCATCATCAGCGCCTACGCCCCCTCCCCCTCCAAATGACCAGCTCCGATGAGGAAAAAACAAATTCTACGAGGACCTGCGCGTCCTCCTGGCATCTGTGCCGAAGACGGACGGACTGGCTACTCTTGGTCGGCACAGACCATATTGCCTAGAAAGGAGTGCTGGGCCCTTACGAACTCGTCGGCTACAAAGACAGTGACCTCCTCCTCCTCCTGAAAGTCTGCGCTGAACAACGCCACCTGCTGACCACCACCGCCTTCCGCCTGCCGGTAAGCAAAAAAGCCAACTGGATGCACCCCCAATCGCGGCTCTGGTAGCTGCTGGGCTATATTCCCGTTCGGCGGCGCGGTCGGCAGGATGTGATAGTGACCAAGGCCATTTGCGACGCCGTCAGCTGGGCGGACCACCGCCTAGTCATCTCCAAGATGAAGCTCGCCTGCAACCGCACAGGAGGCCACAAGATAAGCGACCACGCTTTGTTGAATTCGCCTATTCACTGTTTGCATTTCAGCAACCAACTGACCCAGCGGCCGGAAGAACTGCCAGCTGCAGATGAAAGCGCCTCTGTGGAGACTCGATGGTGCCAACTGCGGGACGCTGTCCATTCGACCGGCCTGGGTGTCGTCGGCCGCACACGTCGTTATCGGCAGGACTGGTTCAACGGCAACGACGCAGCCATCACTAACCTGCTCGTCGTCGAGAAGAACAGGTTGCACAGAGCCTAACTCGACCGTCCAACCGACGCGAAACAAAGCGACCTTCTATCAATGTTGTCGTCCCGCATAGAAACGGTTGCGAGAAATACATGACGTCTGGATGGCTGACAGGGCCGAGGAGATCCAGGAATATGCTGACCGCAGCGAATCAAAGGACTGCTTCGCTGCGCTCGAGATCTACGGCCCCCCAATCAAAGGAACAGCACCGCTTCTCAGTTCCGAGGGAACAATTCTGCTGACGGCGAAGCTACAGGATCTGATGCGCTGGACTGGACACTTCGGAAGCATCTTTAACCGCTCCTCCACAATCTCCAACGCTGTCATTGACCGGCTCCTCCAAATAGAAGTGGACATCTGCCTAGATCTCCGTCAACCCCTCCATAAATCCTCCGCATCGCGCAACAACTCTTCAGCGGGAAATCACCAGGCTTCGATGCGATCTCAGCTGAAATCTACGAACCCGATGGCCAACGATTGGTGCATCAAGTCACGGCGGTATTTCTGGCGATGTGGCGGTATTTACAGGTCCCTCGTGATCCCAAGGATAGGAATATCCAGCAACAGAAGTTCGTTGTTGGTGGGACGCCATATACCATGACGATCGAACGCTTCCGCCAAGCAGTGTGGTGTATTACCACACTTGCGTTCAAGATAGCGATACATATTAGTTTTCCTGTATTCAGCACAGATATGGGGATCCTCCCCCTCCGTAGATCTTATGCTTAAAATTATCGTAAATTAGGCCGTGGTTATAGCGAGGTTTCCTAATGGGTGGTGAGTTGCATGTTAATGCTGTCAATTTTAACGTTGAACGCAACTGTAATCGACGTTCTTCCTCCAGAATGTGTACCCTACTTCAGCTACTATCCAATCCTTGATCTGAGCGTCACCGAGAACGGCTGTCCCCCCCTCGCATCGGACCGTCTCTCCGACGATCAGATCCTTCCTCCTTTCTGACCAGTTGGTTGTGGAAAAGACGGGCACTCCAGATTGCTTGAATAGGTGAAATCAATCTGGCTCCATGGAGGCGGAGAGGAGCAGTGCTTCTGTTTGCCGTGTTGCGATCGTGTGCGTAAATTCCGGTAGCTACGGTCAATTACGTCGGCGATGTGAACCGACACTTTTCTCCAGTACTTTATAGCCGCCTCCTTCCTTCACGAGGGGAAGGCAGTGCGTTCCTGAATAGGACAGCTCGGACATCCCTGACAGCTGCCGAATTCAGCTGTTGCTAAAGGTGTAGCAAGAAAGCGACCTAGATTTGCACATCGTCCTCATTGTGGGGCTAGTTAAGGGGAGTGGCTGGATAGAGTTAACGGGGTTGGTTACAGACGTGACTGATTAGCGAGAATGACCTGCGTATGAGGTTGGATTAGGGTTTTGGACAACGATGATTCTACCCTTTCCGGTCATACAGCGTCCCAAAATCAGAACTACGTCAAGGCGATTGGTAATGAAACTGGATGAAGTGACTGGCTTGGCGTAAATCGTGTTTGCATACCGGGGCCACAAGAAGGTCGGCTCTGTCCTACTCCACAAACCAGGTTTTATATGAAGACAAATTCACAGGGACGTCAACACAACGGTTACCTCCATATTCTCCAACTCGAATCGGTTACCCAGAGGTGGTCGCTATGCAAAGTATGGCTTTTTGGAGGCACTGGTGAAAGTTAGGTGTCGGATGAGGAGACAATGAGGAGTAGCCGCTAAGTGTAGTATGACACTCGAACGGCTATCAATCCAATATGGTTTATTTCCAAAACAGCGACCCGTATGAACCATCGCTTCCAACTACCACCTAAATTGTAATCCATTTACAACACTCCGCAACTCCTCCCTCGTCCTCACTTGAAACCCACCCAGTGAGAAAGCGTTTATGAGATGGATCCCTGCCCAATGGCAGTCTTTGATGAAAGCACAAGCTGGAAGCACAAAGATCAGTAAAAGTTATATTGCAAGACCTAGGGGTCCCGCCACATATATGGGCGGCTTAAAAGTGAAAGAACAGGCGGTTTCCTGTAGGGTGCAAGCCCAAGCACGCACTACATACGCGAACCAAAACATCAAAGTGACGACGCAGAATAAACGCTCACTAAAATGCGACAGAAGGGAAGGAACTCGACAAGGTGCAAGGGCAACCATCTGAAAGACAGCGTCAGAAATCAACAATCGTCCTCCAATTCGAAGATGGTCTCTGCGTTTAATGAGACGGGACACTTGGTGATATGTAAATTCGAAGCAGAACGGTTACTGGATGCTTGTGCAGATTGGAGCAGATTCTTAGCTCCTGGTAGGTCTTGCCACCTACAGATCGAACTGTTGGGGCCCACACTCGCCACATTCTTGGAGGTGCATACGTCTGAGTTAAATGTTCTCGGGCATTGGACCTCAGGTTCATTCGGTGTGGGGTCGGCTAGAGAAAAGGAAATACGAAGGTCGTTGCAAGCCAGTCAACAGTGAACAAATGAGACTGAAGGCATATGGACAACCCATTTTCTTAGTTAACGACAGTTGCTATATTCGATTGGTAACACAGCAAACGGCATCAGTTCGCTGCATCAGTTCGTGTTGTAGCTGCAATTTCAAACGTCAGGAAGGAAATTTCGGACAGAGGTCACGAAAGTCCCGTCTCAAAGGGTTTTCGTCACAAAATACTCAAAGTACAGTAGGCGCTGAAGCCCGTTAGTCATCAATTGGAAACCTCATTTGTGTTGTCGAACCAACAAATATTTGTGAAGAGGCTGTCCCACACGGAATCTGACCTCGGACAAATTCACACATAGTAACGGGTCTGCGAAACGCCCAAAGGATAATCCTGGGCACACAAGTTACTAAGTACTGCATGTTTTGGCATCTGGCAAGAACTCCTTTTTCTTAAAACCACGTCATTTCAAATTTCGTACGTGAAAAATGGAAAGTTTCTGTTCAAAAATTGCAATATGGACACTCATTGGGACGTTTGACCAATTATAAGTGCATTACACAAAATGGAAATTTACTGAGTCACTTAAGAGAGTACAGTGGGTGACTTATCTCATGAAATGCTGGCCAAAATTCTGAAATGCGTCTTCGATTAGGAAATATTACTTGGGTGGGGTTGTAACGTTGATTACCATGCGACTTAATCCTCTGATATTTCGGACTCGCCAGGGTGTTGGCTTTTGAATGCACTTATTTTCGACCTCCTGCAAAAAATGCACTCGACAAAAATGACTACTTAAGTGGCATGCATTTTCACGTTGATTTTCGATGTTCTTATAAATCCAAATATATTTTATAGAGAACATGCACAAAATATGTCTTCTTCCACTTCTTTGGTAGAAAATCATATTGTCTTTGGATTTTATACTCGAAGAAAGGTTATCTTCCGGTTTTAAAAAGTTTCTATGAGATTTTTAAGACCATGCAATGTACATTCATTCAGTATCGTACCTGTCCGTATATTAATGCCCTTCATGAAGTATACAGCAGAGTTCGCCTCCATTGCAAAACTTTACTAACTCTACCTGGTGTTTTCTCAAGGGCGAAGAGTATACACTTTTTTAGGATGAAATCGCCAAACGTTAATGCGATGGCTATTCTGGCTCAAATGCATTCGGGAATTGGAAAACGTTTTCAAGACCTAAACGTACCCTTTCGAGTACAACCTGTAAATATGATGCGATTCCATACCAAATGAGTAAAAGAAAGCATATTTTGTGCATATTCGCTATAAAATACATTTGGATTTATAGGGACATCGAAAATCAACGTGAAAAATGCATGCCATTTGAGTAGTCATCTTTGTCGAGTGCAGTTTTTACAGGTCGAAAATAAGTGCACTCAAAAGCCAACATCCTGGCAAGTCCGAAATATCAGAGGATGAGGCCGCATGGTAATCAACGTTACAACCCCACCCAAGTCATATTTCCTAATCGAAGACGCATTTCAGAATTTTGGCTAACATTTCATGGGATAGGTCACTCACTGTATGTCAGCTGTCCAGTTGTTATAAGGTCGTGGATACTCGCCCGTGGAGAATTACAGCAAATATAAATAATTACTCGGGAAGAGAGCGCGTGAAGCAAATTGGAAGAATTAGAAAAAACACAGCACCGCGTTATTGGGACATGTCAACAACGAGAGCCACGGCCGGATCAAGGAGCGAGATAAGGATAGATGGAAGACCAGAGTTGGACCTCCTTCTACCTGTACAGCAGCTTTTGTGGCCAGTTCCAGTTTACTTGTCATTATCTGCCTGAGATTCGGACCCGTTATTTAGCTGTCGAGAATTTCCAAGTTTAAATATTTTCTACTGGGGCTACGAGTGCACGCACCGCCGGTTGAGATATGGAATATTTGTCATGACATGGGAGTGGCGTGCCGCGACGCATTTCGATTACAGGATGGACACAGGTACTGTTGTTTTGTCTTAGAGTCCACGAAGTCGGAAGCAAGCTGGCATGCAACCCCTAATCTGCAGGCGTTATCGACAGAGCAAAGAAGCCGAAGTGGTCATTTCTATCCCTGCTGCCGTCATCATGCAACGTCACCCAGATCTCGGACAGAGCACCTGAGGTAGGCGAGCGAACTGTCCGGTCGTCAAGCCTTTTCCAAGTCCAGTATTCTCCAATACAAGCTGCGGGCCAAGAAAGGAAGTGACGTTCACTGGCTCCCCCGGCATAATGGCCGTTCAATCACCTGAGTGATCGATAAAGGCAAGTGTGCGCGGAAGCTACTGAGACACAAAAACTTCGTCAACATGCTTTCAAAGGAAAAATAATACCTGAGTGAGTCTTCAAGGGAAATTTACGTTAAATACAAGCACAAACTAATACAAGGCAGCGTGCTGGCCTGTGGGTTAGGCATCTTTTAAATCACCCGGGTGAATAGCAATGGGAAAATTGCCGTGGAAGCCGCGCGAGTGGTATTGAAGTTGCTCGCTGATTTTCTGTTTCTATCAGTCTCGAGACATCTATAAGGAGAGTGCATGAAAAATTCATCTCCTGTGTTCATATTTGTAGGAAATTGCTCTTTCCTCGTGTTGTACTTGCAAGGTGGGCACCCCTCAGTTCTAGGAAAAGGTTAAGCATTTCTGCATATTTGTAGACACAACCTGCGTTTACAGACGTCCTCTGGGTTTCAAAATCCCAAAAAACTGCAGTCAAATATTCCTCTTCACTGACCCCAGTGACAGAGGGTAGGGATAACTAGGTTACTGTGTGAACGGTGTACCCGGGCAGATGGTAGTCCATTAGGGAAAGGTGATACCATACTACAAGCACAGGCACTAGCCAAAAGTCCATACACGCGTGGTTCGCCGATATTCTGCCACTGCGTGGCACAGCTGCGAGGGGTTCGGTTCGTCTGTGGGTCCCCCAGCATTCCCAGTGTGTTTTCTGGTAGATACTCCAACTTAGAAATTGTCTCTTTTTAGTATGGTATTTCGCTGTTAGTATGGTACTACCTTACCCTAAATTATACTACTAGCTGCCTGTCGGCAGTTAATGAATATTACGCGGTTACCCGCTGTAGCTGATGGACTTTGGCCCGAATATTCATACATAAAATTCTCGGTCTGAGCCTATAGAAGTTGAATAAACTGATCTACTCCAAATTCGTAGATAATTTCTGAGGAAATTAAAAAGCGACAGATATTAATCCGTCCTCCTCACCTTTGTCAGCCTTGGTGAATATGAGGTAGTTGTGGGAGCTAATTGTGACTTTCGAATTTGTCACTCCAAATCCGATGCGCCTATTTCACGCAATGTGCGTTTGAAAACCAAGCCTCGGTGTGGCGCCACGGAATAGAATCTCCGAGAGTCAGAACTGG